TACCCTTGCTTGCCCCTTTCGAACTTATAATGTCATTGAGAGACAAAGCAATGGTATACAAACTGAGAAGATGGCAGTGCTCACAGGAGACAAGTTTGCTAAGAGTTTAGAGACCGGAAAGCTCAGTATGGGCCATGTTGGCGACTAGGTGGGGAGAGTTTTGCACAGAAAGTTGGACTTGAGCTGAATCTTACCAAATGGGTGGCATTTGGCTTAGTTGGAGGGAAAAAGAAGGATATTTGGTCTGGGAAGAGTTCATGTTGGGGAGTCCGGAAGAGGAGGAGGAGTAGAGAAGGTAGGGCCAGACTGTTGAGTGACTGAAAGTCACGGGGTGGGGGTGGGGGGGTAGTGGGGGATGATTTTTAACCTATAGGCCTAATCTTTCAAAAAGCAGCTGGAAGTTTTATCTACTTTCTATTTTAATTAGGATAAAAGTTCTCTTTTAAAGTATATTTCAAAATCACTAATGGAGGCAATGCAGAGTTATTGGAGATTTTTTAACAAGGAAGACATGTGATAGAAGCAGAATTTAAAGACAGCTAATCTACCATTAATATGTGGAAGAATTTGAGGAAAGTGGAAATGGAAGGAGGATGATCAGCAATGGAAAAAGCAGTGATTTCCGTAGTCCAGGTTCAAGGATGTCTAGCCTAGGCTGAAGAAGGGATGTAGAAGCCTAGGTAATGGCTGCCTTAGATACAGTTCCCCAGAAGCAAAATCTGAGAGGAGGAGTCAAGTGAGAATGATTTATGAAGAAAGTGCTTCCAAAAGAAAATACGAGGGATTTGTGAGAGCCAAACAGAGCGGCCCCAGAGGACAAGCAAGGGTGTGACTTCAGGTGAAGTCAAGGCATCTGCCTGATCTGAAGAGGGGACTCCAAGTTAAGTCAAGGGGCTGGTGTTGCATTGCCTGAGCTCAGGTGTTGCCTATGGAGCAGGGCAAGGGGCGAGGAGGGAGAGAACTCCCAGGTACTTCTGACTCTGAACCCTGGGGGCAAAGCAGCTCTAGCAGTCCCAGGACAGCCATCAGAGGGAAGTCTCAGGTGGAGTTGCTAGAAGCAAAGTGTACAGAAAGGGTGAGGGAACAGGCAGTTATGAGTCCTCTTATATCCTGACATTTACAAAGAATAAGCTTACAGAGGTGAGATATATGTTAAAGTAGGTAATTAGGTAGGTAGATAGGTAGATAGATAGATATAATAGGATATAAAGCACTGATCTCTGACCAAGGGGTTATATTTTCTGCTATTCCTGGTGTGAAGATAATTTACCCAGATAATCCAATAGTTCATAGTATGTCCTATACATGGAAAGTGTGTTGTAAATGTAAAACATGAATCACAGAGCAGCCTTATTTAGTCCGCGTGGCTTCCATCTCTTCTCACATGAATGCCTCCCCATGTACAAATGATACTGACTGTTTTTCCTGAGGAGGTAACAACTTATAACTGGAATGTGATTGAACTCAATAAATGGGAGCAATACACTCGTTAGTGAAAAAGCAGTAGGATTGCTGGGCAGTGCTATGGGCAACTGCGTGTGAGATTCATGGTCAGAACTTTTAAGTGAGACCAGTCTACAAGGTATGTGATTTTTGCCTGCCAACATTTAGTGTCACAGAGTTACAATTATTTGGATATAACAACAGTTGGAATTTAGCCAAGTTAGTTGATGGAGGGGAACAAGATTAAAGGAGTTAAATGTTTGCAAGTAAATGATTATGGTGATGGATCACGGAATCTAGACTGGGTACAAAAAACAAAAAGGTAAGATCCATGAATTAATTGGTAATCTTAATGTAGTCAAGGGATTGATGAATTAGATACACTAGGTAAATGAGCCGAAGTTATGGTCAGAGAGAAGAACATTTGACCTTGAGTTTGAGGTGCTACAATTTTTCCAGATGACAAGGTCAAGGCTGAGACCTTGGGAGTGGATGGCATAGGTGAGCTAGAGGAAAAGATGACTAAAGTCGAGAAAGTCAAAGAAATGAGAGACCAGGGTGTTCCATAGATTTGTCCAAGTAGTAAGATGCCCAAGAATAATGACAGGAGTGACAGTTTTCAAAGTTCTTTAGCCTCCTGCTTAATCAAATATAAACAAAGGGCAATAAAAACAAACCAGCTCTGTTAGTCGTTCTGAATGGATGAGCAATTCACCTCCACAGCAACATTTATTCACCCTGGCACCATAAATTAGGCATGATTATCTAAGTAAAAAAATATTTTTCTTTTATTTACATTGAAAATTTATATATACAAAGACAATGTCAAGCCTACATGGTTTCCCTTAATAATTATTCAGTGTCTCCCTGGATTACTAATTAATAATTTAGGGTCATCGGGAAGAGAATTTTAAATCTCGTCAGAGAGTAACAGGTAACTGTGCATAAGATTTAGTTATGTCAGGGAGTAACCGGAACTGGGCTCATGGCAGATGCTAGTAATTCGTTCCAATTAGGACAGCACATGGTCTTGGGACAGATGGTGATGGATATCAGGTGAAATGTATGTTCTTAGAAGGGAAAGGCTAACCTGGACGTGAGTGGAGTAGATTTCATGTTTATTTGGCTTGTGGGGCAGCCTTATCTTACACTTACATATATTACCTAGTTATTTCTTACTTATCTTATATCTAAGTGACTGGAAGGAAGGATTCATTCCTTACAGAAATTCCATTTCTTTTTTAAAAAATATAATCTATTTGTTTGGTCATATTTTCTAATGTATCTCAGTTATTAACTACCTAGCTACCTGAATTTAGCACAAGCTATCAAGGTGAGGTGATTTGAAAATGGGAAGTCAGTTATGCTTCAGTTTAAAAAAAAAGAAAAAATTTTTAATTAAAAAATAAAAGAGAGGACTGACGTGGAACATAACTCTATATGCTGGAACAAGTGAGTTCACATCTATAAAGATTTAACACAAGCACCTAAAAACAAAATATGACTAGAAAAAGAAGAAGGAAAACAGAAAATGAGGGGGCCTGGGGGAAGTAAGTCTTTGTTGAGAGGAAGTAGAGAGATGAAGGATACACACCCTAGACTAGACCCCTTTCTGCCCCTTCATTATGGGAAATGAGTTTTTTAAACTCAGTTTCATCATTTATAAAATGTAGTACTAATTTCTGTTACTGTAATTTGAATAAATTAGGAGAGAAAGCTAAAAACAGCAGTAAAAATATAGGATAATAGTCTTATTCAGGCATGGATGGTGGCATAATTTCTCCAAGATGTCTAGTATACTCCAGAAGGTAGCTCAGAAGTGATAAAGATTATGTTTAATTGGGAGTTCTCTTATTTGTTTCTGCAAGTTTCAGAGTATGCTTTGGTTTCCAAAAAGACCTAGCTGTGGAATATATCTCTAAATCAGACGAAGATTTAAGCCTAAAGATTTCTGACGACAGTGAGACCAGGGGAGGCTATAAGGTAGATACAGATCCTTTGTGCCATTTTGGAAATAGGATCAGACTTGGAAATAGGATTGGCTGTACAACTACAACTTTACTAATGAGCAGACTAGACAATTGCCTCGGAAGGAAGGCAGCCCTATCTCAAATTACTTCCCCTACCCAAGAAATGAAATGTCTAGAATTCCTACATTAAAAAGACCTTCCTTTGGGTAAGGAATTCTTTTGAGCCCCTTATTTTGGGATAGGAAGCTTAAACAACAAGTAACTTCAGGCATAATTCTTGATACAAATTAGTTTATTGGTTCACATCAGCCATCCAAGGAGGGTGCAGAAAAATGGGCATGGGGTGGGTGCGGGTACAGAGCAAAGGAAATCGAATCTGGGGCACTTCACCTTCCAAATCATTTCAGTTCAGTTGGCTGCCAGTGTTACCCAACCTGTGGAAAAGAAGGAATGAAAGGAGAATGGAAGTAAGAGAGGGAAGACAGAGAGCAAGGAAAACGAAAGAGCTGACTCAGGAGAAGTGACGTGACAGCTGAGCTACAGAAAGCACGAAGCAAGTGTGTGTCCCTGCCAGACATACCCCTGCTTGTTAGTCTAGCTTCATCTTGCTCCGCTGTCCTGTCCCAGCGGGTCCAGGCTCACTGGCCTTTTGTTCCTAGAGCACCTGCCTCTTTCACATCTCAGCTTCCTCACAGGCACCATTCCCTTTGTGTGGACATTATCCTCTCTGTCAGCCATCACCCTCCCAGCCATATCTCTGTGTGTGTATTTTTATTGGAGTATAGTCAATTTACAATGTTGTGTCAATTTCTGGTGCACAGCATAGTGATTCAGTCATATGGGAACATACATATATTTGTTTTCATATTCTTTTTCACCATAAGTTACTATAAGATAGTGAATATAGTTCCGTGTGCTATACAGTATGAACTTGTTGTTTATCTATTTTATATATATTATATTACATATATATAATATAATCTGCAGATAAACATATATCTGCAAATCTCGATATGTTATATATATATATATGCAAATCTCAAACTCCCACTTTATCCCTTTCCACCCTCCCTGTTAACTATAAGTTTGTTTTCTATGTCTGTGAGTCTGTAAGTACAACTTTTGAAAGGCCTTCCCTTAGCCCCCGTTTAAAATTCGGCTCCTAGCTTATACTTGCTAATAATAGCTTTTCTGTTACAGCCCTTTGCACAGTTTGCAATTGAACATGTATTTGAATGATTTTGTGTTTAATCTCCCTTCTCCTCTAGTGCAGAAGCTCCATGAAGGCAGAGGCCACGTCAGTGTGTTTCATGTTCTAACCGCCACCCTCACCCCAAGCCTACAAGAGTCATTCAGTAAAAACAGTTGAAGAGATAAACCAACCATGTGAAGTTTAATAACAGCACTCTCACTTGTGTAAATGGCAGTGATCACTGCTGTCGTAGAAAGATTTGTGCCCTGATAGAGTTTTAAACTTGCCTGAAAGACTAAAATGTATTATTACATCTGATCTGCATGTTTTAACTAAAGAAAATTGAAACAGGGAAGATTGCTAGGTGGATAACTCACAGTGGTTTGGTGTTTCAGGTTGGAATCGTACAGTATGGAGAAAACGTAACCCATGAGTTCAACCTCAATAAATACTCATCGACGGAAGAGGTGCTTGTTGCCGCAAATAAAATAGTCCAGAGAGGTGGCCGCCAGACCATGACAGCCCTTGGGATAGACACAGCCAGGTATGTGGATAAAAATAAACCAGGGTAAAAGACTGTGCAAAACTAACCACTTATGATCTAGCCCTTTGGAGTATTAACTGAACAGTTACCTTAGCAATATTTAAAGCCATCTTTGAAACTAAATTCAGCTGATCAGCTAATAGTTATAAGATCAAGTTTTTCTATATTAACAATCTCACCACTCTCCTTATCTTTCCTCTTATTCCAAGGCTTTGATTGATGGAGAATCAGTCCAAGAAATCACTGTAGTCTACTGCATCACATTCCTGGGTACCAAGACATAATATTATATTTTCCCTTTATTCTTTGTTTTCGGCTTCAAGGAATCTCAATTTTTAAAAATGGATTAAAATTAGTCCACTTCTACTCAATATATATTTATATCCTAATATGTCTATAATTTCACAGCATCTTACAGATTTAGGGCTACTGAAGCCCTCAAATAAGTATTTTTAAGAGGGTAAATCAAATGTTGTATTATTTGAAATCATTTTCAGTGAAAAGATTGAAAGAGGTGGAAAGGATTTCATCATTTGTGCACTCTCTCTTTCTTCCTTACTTTCTCCAGATTCCCTCTAATTCTCATCCCTTCCTTCCTTCCTTCTGCAGTCTCCTTCATAGAGTATAATTCACCTTGTGGTTGAACTTCATTCTATAAGAACGTACAGGACTGTGCCTTTTTTTTTTCAACAATGTAGAACATTCTCTTTTCTGTATTTTTTCTGATCTCATTCAGCGCTTAACTCTTGCTGTTTCTCCCCTTAATCATCATGAAAACTTCTGAACAAAAACTAAATAATACCAAAATCACAGGAAATCTGATAAGCAGTTTGACTAATGTCAAGGATCCTTCTGTTAAGTGCCTTCAACTTCTGGACTCTCACCTGATTCTGAAGAGCTAATTCCCATGCTCTCACTTTGCCTGCCTGCTAAGATCAGTGTTTTAAGGGGGCTAAATTAGTTAATACGGATACTTGAAAGGATGGGTTGGATTTTCAAAATTTTAAAATTTCACATGCAGCTTTAGACTCATAAATGTTAGAAAAGCATGTGGTTCTAGTTATATGGGGCCCATGAGAAAATAACCACAAACAGATGGGGTAATTTTACATTCACCAGCCAATAGGATCACCAGTTTGCATGCACAAAAGGGCACATGTTCAGGTGTGCTGAATGCACATGCTTAAATAATGGACTGAAGGTGATCGCACATTCAAAGGAAATCAAAATGTTCTTTGAAAGGTCCGAGTATATAGGGAGCTGTGTGTTTTCCAAGGCAACCGCTTAAGGGTGAATATTCATCTTTGAAAACTAACTGAAGAAATGTTCTGGCTGCTTTTGCTCCTGCATAAATACCACTCTAAACACCACATCCGTATATGGTTTCTGCCTACGTGGTTCACAGAGGGTCTGGCTGGAGGACACAGTTTATGGCGTTTTGTATATGAATAAAACTCCATAATGTGACTACTAAGTACCCTTCTTGTATATTAGTTTTTCATGTCTAAGTTTATTTTCACTTGTTCTTTATTCCTTTCAGGCAAGGCCAGTTGCAAACAATATATCCAATTTTTTAGAATCCTATACTTCCATTTCCAGTGTCTCCCAGTTCAAAACATTTTTGTGTCCCCTTATCCCAAATTTCCTTTCATTTCAGTAGGTTCACAAGTGTTTAACCATAAGGCCTGGATTCTCCTGTCCCAAAGGAAGGGATTTTCCTGGGATATGTTAATATTTAAAAGCAGGCAGAGAGGTCAATGCTTCATTTAAAGAAAGAATACTGGATGGTGGTAATTGGGGATCAAGGGCAATTTGCTGAAGATATTTGAAACAGAAAGTATATACTCAAGAGTTCTGCCAATGCTATTCATATACAGCCAGCCCTGGTTTCAAAGCTACCGGATTTTCTTTAAGGAAGGTCTTTTAATCTCTCCTTCAGCTAATATCCATTCAGTTATGGCCTTGATCTTCAAGGGCATTAGAAAGTTTTGGGGGTCCTCTAAGGAATTAGAACTGTAAAAAGGATTGAATCTCCTTGTCTGAACTTCATTTAAAGACTAGCCCTTTAACATCTGTTTTCATCTTTGTGCATATCACGCAGTCAGAAAATCTGTATGTATACTGTAGAGGGCAGAGATACACAGTTTCCCAGTGATCAGTATTTTTTAAAATAGGTCTTTTTTCTTTTGCAAATTTTACGAAAATTTGAAAATACAGAAAAACAGTACAACAAAATCCTATGTACGCATCAAACAGAATCAACAATTCTTAACATCTTGTCGTATTTGCTGTAAGTCCTTTTAAAGGAAAAAATTAACACAGATAAAATCTCTTTGCTCAATCACCAGGATCCTCTCTCCCTCACAAAGTATCCACTTTTCTGCATTTACTGTGTATCTGCCGTAGAACTAATGTGTTCTGTGACAAACTGCTGGAAGATTAAAGAGAGCTGTTTCTTTGGTAGATTCCAAACTGCAGCTGTTTGTCCTTATGACCAAAGTAAAATTTGTAAATGGACTATTCTGTACAATGATTGCTACATTTTATACCAAAATCTAAAAAATATTATATGAAATCCATTCATTGTTTCAGTCCTAAGTGAAAAGTA